TCTCTTTTCCATTTCTTCTTCCCCTTTCTCCTCTTTATTCTCTTTTTGTAAATAATTTTCTTTTCCTTTTTTTCTTCCTCTTTAGAGGAAGAAGAAACATAATAAGAGAAAGAGTTCTCATCTTATTTTTCCTCTTCTTCCTCTAAACATTTCTGCGCATTTTCCCCCTCCTTTTCTTCTTCTTTGTCCACTTGATCTTTCTCTTCTTTCTCTGAAAATATCAGTAAATCTTCTGCCTTTTTCTTCCACTTTTTTCTTCCACCTCCCCTGCTTATTTCAACGCATTCTCATCCCAAGGCGTTATATACTGACGCTTTTGCCAAAGCGTCTACATCCGACGCACATGGCACCCTTTAGCGTCAATATAACACGCTTCGGTTATGGGTAGGTTTAGGTCTGGGGTAGTGTTAGGGTTAGACCACTAGGAGGCGCCATATATCTGTGTCTCATATTGACGCTAAAGGGTGCCATGTGCGTTGGATATGGGGATGAGAACGGGCTGCTTATTTCTATTTCCTCTATAGATGTCTTTAAATAAATGCTTTCTCTTCCACCTGCTCTTCCTCCTTTTTTCTCTATTTTAAAAAAATCCTGTAAAAAAATAAATGTAAACTGCCCAGTAGAATATGTATCATGTATCATGAGACTTGTTATTGAGATTATGGTCAAATAGGTGCTAGATTTTTTTTTCTCCCCAATACTACTTTAAATATTCCTTCCACGTCTTTTCAGTGGGAATCTGAAAACAGAAATGGGGAAAAAAAAAGGTTTTATATAGCCGAACCATTAACATTTTCCTTGGTGGCATAAATCAAGCGCAGCGTCAGTTCTGGCAGGTCACGTTAGTCAAGCTCGCATCAGCTGACTCTCAGCTGATCCACGTCTACCTATAGGAATACGACGCCTATCACTGTATACATATATAAGCTCCTTCAGTATTATCAACAGATATGGCGTTTCTCAGGAGCTGATTACCCTCCTCCATCCCCAGCTCCTCCTCTCGCCCAGTCAGGATTTGGCATTCTGATTCCCCTTGAATCAGAATAAATTCTCGAATTATGTTGTACTTTAAAATCTTGATTTAATGAAATCTGTACACATTCATGTTGGTTCTGTTCTGTTTACCCTAAGGGGGGTTATTGCTCCTCTCCCTGCTCTTATCCATGCTAGGCTGCATGGATCCGCAGGGAGTTCTCCCCCAGAACGGAACCATATCACCAATCCTAACTGTATGCTAATTGTCAATCGTATTTGACGATAGTGGTCCTGACAGAAATGATGCTGATAAATGCTAAATCAGGTTTACATGCGGCAGTCTGGGACATTCTTTCAGACCTCATAAAAGCACTTAAAGTCTTCATGCACCTGGACCTGAACCCTTTTTATATTACCAAATGAGCAAAAATTTACAACAAATCCAAGATATTTCAAACAAGGAACATTTTCACTGCATTACACTTCTGTAGTTTTCCAAAATATCTGAAACAAAATGTGGCCAGCAGGTGGCACATTGTGGACCTTTTCAAAATCTGAACCTACTTTTCACCTGAAACATATTCTCCTCATACCCTCTTCGAGTTATACATTTGTAAGCGATTAAAATTCAGGGTGTGCGCACTATCGTCTCTTAATGAAACCCTTCATGTCCTGCTGTCATCTATCAATCTTTTCTCTCAAAACTCTCTCTCATGTCTTTAAACCAAGGACTCTTATTTATGAACAATCTATGTTGGTTCATGTGATCTACTGTCCTCGATTAAATTTTTCAGGTAATTTAATGTGATTTTTGTGTCTGTTTAGTCAGTGAGCTATCACTTTATTTCCCTCATCTTTTGCTTGTCTGTTTTTGTCTTATTTATTAATTTATTTTATTCATCTCTTTCCCTCTTGACGTTATGAGAAATTGACAGAAAATGTATTATAAAGTCATTTCGAAAAGGTTAATGATGTTGTTTTTGTCTCATTGTTGTTTCAAATTTGTAGTTTACCTTAGGAGGAATGACATTTATATATCTAAAACCATTCAATCTTGGTATCTTCTAGGAATAAATAACAATTCAATAAACAGTGACAAATTTTTCTATTGGCCTGGTCGGGCCAGTCGTTAAAAAAACTTTTTGTGGCCTCACCACAAAAAAAGTAATAAATAGATAAAATAGGCCTAGTTATTATCTCCGTTGTTTTTGACCCATAATCTCAATAAATAAAGTTGTGACACCAAAAATTAGCCTAACTATATATTTCAAATATTGTTAAAGACAAGTAAACTGTCAGTAATAAAATAATATCAAATTACAAATAATCTAATTATGAGCAATAGCATAAATACAATAGAACACACATACACATACGAATAAAATAAACACTGCTTTTCATGTTTTTCAGGTAAGTCTAACCAGCCCGATCTCACGGCAATTCGTACGAATTTTACGAGGTGGCTAATTCGTACTAATTCATACGACCTCACTCGTACAAATTCGTACGATTTTTGCTAATTCGTACATATTTTACGAGTTACCAAATTCGTATGAATTCGTACGAATGACCTACCCCTGACCCCACCCCTAAACCTACCCATCACGTGGGTTTAGACAAATCGTACGAATTCGTACGAGTGAGGTCATATGAATTAGTACGAATTAGCCACCTTTTAATCACTCGTACGAATTCGTACAAATTGGTCGTGAGGTAGCGTTGGTCTAACAGTCATTTTGAGGTATAGAAAATGAATGATCAAGTGTAAAATAGTGAAGAGCAGTGAGTGATTTCTTTTCTTTGTCCTTTATTGATGGATTAACATTAAAACAAAGACAGCAGCAGGTTTATTAAGCGGCTGTCACTTTAAGAGCTGCACGGATCCAATATACTGTTATTATACATGCGTTTTCTTTCTCAACTGTTTATGTTTACTTAAGATATAACAGACTATGTTTACTAGGATACTCGCAGTGACCGGCATTCTTTGACGTGATTTTTTATGAATATGTCCGTTCAAGCGCAAGAAGACATGAAAGGGCCATCGGGCAGTCCTTATTGTCGAGCCCTGCTTCATAAATGGCTTCATCACACACACTTGACTTCTTTATCCTTGCGTCCTTTAAAAGGAGCCATTTGCCACCCTTTAGGTGGCTGCATTTTTCTTTTGCATTTTGTGATTTTAATTATCTTTTGTGCTCTTGCACCCATTACATTCCATGCACACATTTTACTCTACATTACTGACCTTACTGACGGTTACATTAACACCTGTTTTTGTTAATAAACCTTGAGTTAATTTTGTGTGTCCTTTATTTGTTGCGGCCTTTTGAGCCACAGGCTGTAACAAAATGGGTGCTCGTCCGGGACGAACAAGACACTGGGTGGTCACAGTGAGAGAATATTCTAATATATTTCTATCCTATTTCTCGTTACTGATCATTTATCAATCTCTAAAGCCATTAACAAATGAGACAGTGCTTCACAATAAGGATTTTATTTACAACACATTATAATGCACATGATTTGAATGAGGTTACATGATGACACCGAATGGAGTTGAAGAAACTGTAAGATCGCTACCTACCTAGCTTTATTTTTTTTTATTCCTCAACAATCAGAAATCCCATTCTGATTTCACTGCATTTCTTTGTCATTTTGCACAAAATGCATCATATTTCACAGAGTATGACAGAATTATGACCTTGTGACATCATTGCTGTCAGCTATTAATGTTGCCATCCTTTGGACATTTCACAAAGAGCTCTTACATCGAAGATGCTAAAGGTGTATTTTCCAAAGAATGTGATTTTGTTCGTTGAACACAAGAGATTATTTTCACTTCTCTCTAATTTTGTCTGGTTTTGAATTTCGATCCAAATACAGCAATTGAAAATGACTCTCCCTCAGCAGATACTAGTCCTACGATGTTCGAAATATCACAAAGAATGACAACTTGCAGGCCTCGTTAGTATAGAAAAATAAATGTTGCCTCAGTATTGCATAACGACATTAATCAAAACTCTCAAACTCATCAAAGAATATAAATCATTGCTAAACCAAACGGCTTCTAAATCTAAATTAGTGTTAATGTTGCCACATCCAAAACACTTTTTCTCTCTCTTTTGGAACGTATACAAGTATCGACAAAGATTTGAGATGTGCACGCTAGTAGTCGAGGGCACTTCTTTCTGCAATTACAGCTTATTAAATAATTAGTGGAAAGCCTGCAAGCACAAACCAGAAAAGCACCTTCTTTTTACTTCTTTCCACAGTCATACGGTCTGTCGTGACAAAAACATACTCTGACCAAACATGTCAATTAGCCCATTACCACATGATTTTACTGAGGTAATGAGTTTATCTCTTTGTATTATGTCAGCTACAGGATTCGAAAGCGACAACTTAACATGGAAAATATGCATGAAGCAAATAGTTCATCAAAACTTGAAATGGATGGATCCATGAGTTGTCTTCAGGATTCCCAGTTTAGTTTCCTGTAGTCTCAGACTCAACGGATTAAAAGTATCCAAAGTTTCCTCATCTTTTTGCATGAGAAGATTGATGGAACTTCCCGGAATGACGATGATGACTCTTCAGTTTTCCTTTTGTTGTTCAGTGCAAATCAATATTGAGCAGCTCAGCCAGGCAGTACACAAACAGATAAACACAGATATCGATGAAAAAATGAAGTAGAACTGAAAAAAACTTTAGGACAGAACTGGGCTGTCGCTAAAGAAGATGGGCAATACATTCGTTTATGTCCATAGTAGTGCATAAGTCTTAGTAACAATACAATTAGGATGTTGAAAAGGGCAGCACTGTTTCCATTTGGGCAGTATTGTGCTTGGTTATATTAAGAACAAAAATTGTGTGTGTGTGTGTGTGTGTGTGTGTGTGTGTGTGTGTGTGTGTGTGTGTGTGTGTGTGTGTGTGTGTGTGTGTGTGTGTGTGTGTGTGTGTGTGTGTGTGTGTGTGTGTGTGTGTGTGTGTGTGTGTGTGTGTGTGTGTGTGTGTGTGTACATACAGTAGGGGACACTTCACGCAAACAGCAAATTCGTAACGTTTTTTTTTTTTCGAGAATATACCTTTAAAGACACATTCATACATTCGTACTAACACACACAGTACATACATGTTATATATACAAATACATATTGTTTCATTGGCTTTTAGTTTTATTACAAAAATCAATATATATATTATTACTATGTTGATACTGTTGATTCAGTCACTTAAATACTCAAAAAAACGCATGCACTTTCTTTTGGTTGTATTGATTTCTCAGTATTGCACTCTTTGTTTTCATTTGCAAGTGGCCTTGGACTTCAGCACTCCAGCAATAAAACAGCAGGAGCACATATCATCCCGGCTTTGACGCTCTCCGACGTTTGGTCTCTATGCGCCCGCCGTTCCGAGAGAGCACTCTTTCAGCGTTTATAACGAATAAATCTGTGATGTAACAGTTTGTACACATCTGGGGTAAAAGGGCATATACAGTAGCTTAATTGGTTTGATAATTTCACAGACAGTTTAGTTTTTTTATGTTCCTCGCTCCGTCCTTTCAGCTGGCCCTCAATTTCAGTTGGTCGCCACAACAACCACGGCCCCATCCTCCATCTCTTCTTCCTTCTCCTCCAGCGATTGGACGACGCAGGATGTGACCTCGTAGGTCATGTGCTCAGCCATTGGCTGTGCTGGTGCTCTTCCTGGGCTCATGACCCCAGCTGGGGTGGAGTCCTCTCTCTGTGTCAGGATGGAAATTACAGATGTCGGCTCGGGTTCAAAGGTAAGTGTTATGTCATCCTCCTTGAGAGAGAGAGAATTTTTTTTTTTGTATCATGTTAACATAAATTGGTGAATGATGTAGAAATGAAATATCCTACCTTGACTTCCTCCTCCTCTTGCTGCTCTGGGATGCATTCGGTCTCCATGACAGATTCCTCACCGTACACTTCCCCCATGCCCATATCAGCCGTGGACAAGCCCATGTGTCCCATCAACTCCACCTGATGGGGCTCCACCTGAGCCGCCGCCCACAGGTCAGCTAGTCTCGGGTGAGTGGGCAGCCCCAAACTGTGAATAGTGCTGTTGGGAGTGGCTTGTAAGGAGTGTGAGGCGCTGTGCAGTCGATGTTCCAATGACTTCAAGAGAAAGCATGAGAAAAAGAGTTGAGAATGTATGAAGTGATAATTGGTAAAACACTTTGATTTGACAAAGTACAAAAGTGCACACTGACCATATTTTATGAGGGAGTGAACTACAATCCCAAGGAGCGTTGCAAATGATGAAAATGATTGAAAATGATGAAAATGATTATTTATTATTTATTATAAAAACAACATATTCTAAGTTTATTTACTGATGAGTTTGGGAACTTTTTAATGTTTTTGAAAGAAGTCTTTTTTGCTCACCAGGGCTGCATTTATTTGATCAAACACAAAGTAAAACAGAAATATTTTGAAATATAATTACAGTTTAAAATAGCTGTTTACTATTTACAGTATTAAAAACAGTATTTAAAGATATAATAAAATTTCTGCACCCATTATTCCAGTTTTCAGTCAGTGTCCCATGATCCTTCAGAAGTTATTTTATCATTATCAATGTTGAAAACAGTAATGCTGCTTAATATTTCAGGATTTTTAATGATTTAAAAGATCAGCATTTATTTAAAATAGAATATTTATGTAAAAATGTAAATATTTTAATGTAACCTTTGGTTGTCATCCTCGCTGAATAAATAATTTCTTTAAAAAAAAAATCTAGCTGACCCCAATCTTTTGAACGGTGGTATTCTGCAAACTTCATTAAACTCGTTAAATCATCTAAATCAACAACTTGTATGTTAGACACTATACCGACTAAGACTAAGCTATTGAAAGAGATGCTTCCAGAGGTCATAGATCCTCTTCTTAATATCATTAATTCATAGGATACGTACCAAAAACTTTTAAGCTGGCTATGATTAAACCGCTTGTTAAAAACCACAACTTGATCTTAGAGAATTAGTCAATTACAGGCCGATCTCAAATCTACTGTACCTTTTCTGTCAAAGATACTAGAAAAGGCAGTATCCTCACAACTATGTTCCTTTTTAGAAAGAAATTAAATCTGCGAGGATTTTCAGTCAGGATTTAGACCGTACCATAGTACTGAGTCTGCTCTCATTAGAGTTACAAATGATTTGCTCTTATCATCTGATCGTGGTTGTATCTCCCTATTAGTGTTACTTGATCTTAGTGCTGCATTTGATACCATTGACCACACCATTCTTTTAAATAGACTTGAAAATTATGTTGGCATTAGTGGAATTGCGTTAGCATGGTTTAAATCATACTTATCTGACCGTTATCAGTTTGTAGCAGTAAATGAAGAGATGTCTTATCGATCAAAGGTTCAGTATAGCGTACCACAAGGCTCAGTACTAGGACCGTTGCTGTTCACTCTGTACATGCTACTCTTAGGAGATATTATTAGGAAGCATGGCATTAGTTTTCACTGTTATGCTGATAATACTCAGTTCTATACTTCACACCCTGACGAAACATTCTTCCGTCTTGAAAAAATATATCTAAATTACGTCATATGCTCTCAACGACAAATGCGGAACAGTTAGTTCATGAGTTCATAACATCAAGGCTAGATTATTGTAATGCTATTATGGGTTGGTACCCTGCAACTAGAGTTCTTACCAGAACCAGGAAGTATGACCATATTAGCCCGGTTCTGTCAACTCTGCATTGGCTCCCTATTAAACATCGTATACATTTTTAAATATTGCTGATTACTTACAAAGCACTAAATGGAGCTCTTAACACATTATAGTCCGTCACGTCTATTGCGATCTCAAATTTTCGGCCAGTTGATAATACCTAGAATATCAAAATCGACTGCTGGCGGTAAATCCTTTTCCTATAGCACCAAAACTTTGGAACAGTCTTCCTAACATTGTCCGGGAAGCAGACACACTCTGTCAGTTCAAAGCTAGACTAAAAACACATCTCTTTGACCTAGCATACACATAACACATTATAGACTTCTATAATTCAATATTAGGCTGCATAGATTAGGTCAGCCGGAACTGGGAACACTTAAATCCTGATGTACTTGTTACATCATAAGAAGGATGGCGTCTACGCTAATATTAGTCTCTCTGTTTATCCCGAGGTTTACCGCAGTCCGTCGGATCCAGGCCATATCCGGATCTGATGAAGGACCTGCGCCTGTACATGACGACAACGCAGTCCTGAAGTGTCAACTAGTCTCTCCCCTGTGAAGGCCTCCTTCCCTTCCCTTTACCTCTGTACAGATAAAACGTTGTCAGGATAATTCCGGTTCACATGGCTACGCGGAAGCGAGAAAAAAAATTGGTATTATATATTTTTCAAGGTTTGTACCTTGGAACCTATTTCATGGTTTGTGTTCTCGAGCCACCAGACACTGTTTTGTGCAAATGAGCGGCCGGATCGCATTAAGGGTTTTCTTTCTGTTAGAACGGTGTCGTGTTAGCGGCCCCTAAGTTAATAACTAATGATCGTTGCGACGGAAGTGAATCAATCAAAACTAACTTTAGCTGGACAATAACTTTATTCTAGAGCTGCTGTAAAGCCAAAACAATATATGTTACTTTAATTTCCTATTATCACTGTAAAGCTGCTTTAAAACACTCTATATTGTTAAAAGCGCTATATAAATGAAGGTGACTTGACTTGACTTCAAGCTAACTAAAGAAGCTAAATGACAAATGTTTAATTTGACTATTTGCAACTTGTTGCAACTGTTTTATAATATATGTGCCATAATGTTTTAACGAGATTAGTTGTCATATTTACATATAATGACATTATAAAGTGAATCTGTAGTATTTCTAATCCGGAACTGGATAGTGTTTTGAATGTGTATTGTTTACCTACAGTAAAATGCTCCAGATTCATCAAATGCAAGACATGACAGTTGCACTCCGTCACCCTTTTCAGTCATGTCAGTGCTGTTCTCAAAACAGCGAGACCACCTACAGCTCCATCCCGTAGACCAGGGGTTTTTCAATCCTGGTTCTGGGGACCCAACGCTCTGCATATTTTGTCTGTCTCTCTAATCTGGCACACTCAGTTCAGTACATGAGCTGATCTGAATCAGGTGTGTTTAATAAAGGAGACATATAAAATGTACAGAACGGTGGGTCTCCAGGACCATGATTTAAAAGCCTTTGACAACACCCGGCTACAAGAGATCAAGTTGTAGTACTCCACATAACTCTGTAGTGTTTCTCTGAGCATGTTAACATGACAGCATGTGCTTTCTGACCTGTTGGTACTGCATGAGCTGCTGCTGCTGGTACTGCTGATATTGTTGGAACTGCTGTAGGTTGTTCTGTTGCTGCAACGTCAACTGCTGCTGCGTCAGGTAGTGGGTAGAGCCGTCAAAACCCTCACCCGAAGCCCCGCCCCCCATGATGTAAGAGCCGGCAGCGGGAGAGGCCATGCCTGAGGGCTCGTTGCTGATTGGCTCCCACGCATCAGAGGAGGATAGACAGTAAAGGCCTTGGGAGACGTAAGTGTGAGGCCACACGTCTGCAGAGGAATGATGCAGCGGCTGGTCTGAAGGACAGACGTGAAAATAAAGGAGAGACAGACGAAAGGTCGTAAGGTGAAGTGGAGAATTCAACTGCAGATGGAACCAAAGTGGTTTCTGAGAGAATTTCTTTTTATGTTCTAATCCAGGGATTCCTAAACTTTTTTGAATAAGTACAATGTAACTAAGTCACTTTAAAATAAAGGGCTACACTTTATTTTAGGGTGTCCTTGTTAGGGTTGGGGTTAACAGGTAACAGTGTAATTATACATATAAGGACTGAGTAATATTGTAAGTATGTACTTACTATAGGGTTAGGTTTAGCAAAAGGGTTTGGTTTAGGGTTAGTTGCATGTAATTATGAATAATTTATAGTTATTACTATAGTACCTACGTGTAACACGTGTAACAAAAACACTGTAAAATAAAGTGTTACCAGATTATAGATAGATAGATAGATAGATAGATAGATAGATAGATAGATAGATAGATAGATAGATAGATAGATAGATAGATAGATAGACAGACAGACAGACAGACAGACAGACAGACAGACAGACAGACAGACAGACAGACAGACAGACACAGACAGATAGATAGATAGATAGATAGATAGATAGATAGATAGATAGATAGATAGATAGATAGATAGATAGATAGATAGATAGACAGATAGATAGATAGATAGATAGATAGATAGATAGATAGATAGATAGATAGATAGATAGATAGATAGATAGATAGATAGATAGATAGATAGATAGATAGATAGATAGATAGATAGAGACAGTGTTGTTCAAAGTTACTTTTAAAAGTAATGTGTTACCATATTGCATTACTCCATAAAAAGTAAATAATTTTGTTACTTAGTTACTTTTTATGGAAAGTAATGTTACGTTACTTTTGCATTACTTTTACTCACCTGGGCTGGGCTTGCTTGTTTGTTTGTTTTTAAATAACAAAGAACACAAAAATTCTAGTTTTGGCAAATGTAAAGGCCCTTTCAGACCAAAAGTGAAAAGAATAAGCCTCAGGCTAAAGGAAATGCAAATTCACGCATGTAAAGGCGCAGCTCAAACAATCCTTTCAGCTGTGCTGCCATTCTGGATTTTAGACGAACAAGGAAGTTCAACACTCTTACTTCAGCGATAAAAACAAAAAAAATAAACAATGGTTGAATTGGATCATCGAAGGTCAGCAAGAAAGGCAATGTTTAATAAAGTGTAATAAATACATAAAGTATATTTATATTATTTAACACATTTAATCACTGCAGGTTTGCTTAATATTTTAAAATTCTACACATTCCGTTCCTCCGCCATTTACGCTCGCTATGAGAAATGAGAAACTCTCCCAGTATAGATCGGGCAGAAACAGGTGAAGGGATACAGATTGTTAAACAGTTTTCGTGTGATATTATATCGCATGGCAGTAAAACGCTCTCAGCCAATTAGTTTAGAGAACCAGAACTACCTGAGACCTCTTTCAGGATCTTTATTATTAAATTATTATTATTATTATTATTATTAGTAGTAGTAGTAGTTTTAACTGAAGCAAATTACAGTTGTCCTGTAAAATAAAATAAAAATCATAAAAAATATTTTATTTTACAATACAAATTACCAATATTTATGTCTTAAATTCTTTACTTTCAAAAATTCAGTCGCTTTGGCTTTTAACATTTTAAATCCTTGAGCTTTTATTTTGGCGACATTTTGGTGAAAATCTGTAGAAATGTAGGAAATTATGGGAATGTGTAGCCTATTTAATGTGAACTAAGCCCAAAATGCACGATCGTGAGGAGAAGCATTTACTGTGAACCGAGCCACACTAACATCCCTTACCATTTAATTAAATCTTTATTTTGATAATTGCACTGAGCTATATTGCAATTTCTATTTTATTTTTGATTAATTCTTTTTTTATATATTCGATATAATTCATTATTAGCTTCTTCTCATCAACTCACAAACTCCCTGCAGTTCCCACACGAAACCCCATGAGTTCATGAACCCCCATTTGAATTAGCCTTTTCTAATACCATTTTAAAAACTATAACAATCATGATTTTTCATCGTTACTCCGCTACATTAAATCCTCATTATTTTGACATAATCAGGCTGAAGAGATCCTTTTTGTTAGGTGTTACTCTGCAACCTGGCTTCTTATAGCTCTGACAACTGAACCTCAGGAAAGCCGCTGCTCCGCGATTCTCCCCTATTGCCTTTGGGCCTGCAGCTATCAGGCATCTCTGACACATTTCCACACACTAAAAAAAGTGGTGGCAATGCGCTCTAGACCTGTCAAACGGACTCCAAGGCACATCAGTCAAGGCTAGGTAAAGGCTGTGACCACAATATAAATAAAATCTGCAGAAATATCTAAGAGCTAACATCAGTGAAACAAAGAGGTTTGGCTATGAGTCTCCTGTCAAAAAATCCAAACAGTTCTTACTGCAAGAGCGGTTGAATATTCACAAGGTTTTAAACTGCCAGTGAAATAACCGTGCAAGCATGAGCTTAAGAAGTGTGTGCTTGTAATATCTGAGCCGTAGCTTAAACGATTGTTCTATTCATCTGTAGTCAAGCAAAGTAAGCAAAATGACAAATCGTTGATGAAGCATAACAGAAAACATATAGTGCCTTATTAAAACAATGTCTGCATTCTGTTCCGGCACAAGGTGGTAATTCTGAATGAAAGTTGTTTGTGACCCTCACCTCTGCTAGTGATGCTCTCCTGGTTAACCTCACTGAGGTGAGCCACGCTGCCCTGGTTGGAGTCCACACAGAAACTGTCTCCATCCATAGAGGTCCAGGCTAAGAGTGTGGCCTCAGAGATGGCAAACTGCTGCAAAATGCCTGCAAAAAGTAGGATTACATTTTTTATTTTAAAGATGAAATATACTGAATACACATTTTAAATATTTACATATTCATAGCAGTTTTGTGGGGCGGCACAGTGGCTCACTGTCGCCTCACAGCAATAAGGTCCCTGGCTTGAGTCCCAGCTGAGCCAGAAGTCCTTTCCGTTTGGAGTTTGTATGTTCTCCCTGTGTCTGCGTGGGTTTCCTCAGGTTTCCCCCACAATCCAAAAACATGCGGTAGCCTATAGGTGAATTGGAGACGCTAAAATTGTCCATAGAGGTGAATGCGTGTGAGTCCCAAGTCATGTAATGTGGAGGGTTGGGGAAAGACCTGGAAACCTATCCCGGAAAAATAACTGGCAAGAAAATTCATGGTCAGTCTCTCGCGTATAGCAAGAGATGGCCATAGAATATCATAGTCGGATATGACTGGAATGGTCAATGAGAGAGCAAGGATGCATTAAATTGATGAAAAGTGAAAGTAAAGAAATGTATATATCTGTTTTACCTTAGTTCTAGTTTACTGTTGGTCGCTATGGTTACTGGTTAGTTTTCACCTGTTCCTTGTTTCCTTTAATGATCTGTGTTCCTCTGTGTATATGAGCCCTTAGTTTACTCGATTCTGGGTCTTTTGTTAATATTTGTTAATATTTATGGATCTGTGATATTATTATATGTTCTCTCTGGTGTTTTTTTAACGTTCAACTTGATCATTCATTCAGTGTTACTCGTCGGATTTAATATACATGGCCACCGTGACAATATCATAGTTTCCACAATTTTGGCAGAACAACTGTTTTCAATATTGATATTTGATATTTTAGCACCAAATCAACACATTACAACAGATTTCTGAAGGATCATGTGACACTGAAGACTGGAGTAATGATCCTGAAAAGTCAGCTTGTTAAAATATATTAAAATAAAAAAGCTATTTTAAATTGTAATCATATTTCACAATATTACAGTTTTCACTGTATTTCTGATCAAATAAACAGCATTGGTGAGCAGACGAGACTTCTTTTAAAGACATTTAGAATCTTAAATGTTCCAAAATTGGGGGGAAAAAAACATTATTAGATTTTCTGAAACTTCTTGTTAGTAAAATATACAATATTACAATTTAATATAAAATATTGCACAGATTTTAGTCCCTGTAAACTATTTATTTACATCAATTTCATCTTTAAAGTGCCCATGATGTTGTGCTAATAATACAAAGACAATTGGAAGTAATTTACTGCAAAAAGAAGCAAAACTGCATGAGATTGAATACTATTGAGCACTATTTGTAAGATATTTGGGTAACACTTTAGTTTAGGGTCCAATCCTCACTATTAACTAGTTGCTTATTAGAATGCATATTAGGATATTGACTGTTTATTACTCATAAAGCCCATATTAATGCCTTATTCTGCATGACCTTATCCTACAGCCCTAATACACAATACCTAAACTTAACAATTCCCTTACTAACTATTAATAAACAGGAATTATGAGTTTATTGAGTCAATAGTTAGTGAGAATTGTACCCTACTCTAACGTGTGACCAATATTGGATGTGATTTTAATGAGCAATTTGCACTTTTCAGTCATCTCAACATCTTCAGTCAAACATCTCACCCGCTGCCATTCGTGCCTCTTTTTCACCGTCACTCAAGTCACTGTAGGCGTCATTTTCAAGCCGTCTCTCCCTCTCGCGGTTCAGGTTGGAGCGGCCCGCTCCTCCTTCCGGCCCTGCAGAAGGTATACCCCAGCTCTGCCACTCAATCATATGGGCCACGCGACCCTGGGCCATGGCGGTGGGCTTGGTCACTTTGTCCTTCATTGATCTGGAAACCCCTGAAGAGAGAAAAACACAAATCAGCAACTGCACAGACTCTACGTGGAGCTGCAGAGAGGGGCGAATGAAGGCAGTGCATTGTGGGATATGTGCCTTTTGATTAATCACCTATAAGGCATACTAGTGCAAGGCACTGTGCATTATAACAACTGAATGAGTGATTATGAGCTACAGCCTGTTGATTTGATCGATCACGAGGCGTGAGAGGGATGCAATTTGGTTGACCATCTTTAGAAATACATTATTCACAAAACTAATGAATTACATGAGATTCATAAGCTTTTATGCATGTATGAATAATTAGAGACAAAAGAGAAACGTCTAAACATTTCCTATAAACAAAATGGCTCATTAGCATGCAAATTTCTCATCTGAACGAGACGCATTAGTTTAATACCTAAGCCTCTGAATGCAAAAGAGAGCTTAAAGACAAAGTAGTCTGAGGGTAAACTCGTTGACGGTTGTGTGATTTTTCTCGAGGCTGCTGACAATGATAAAAACCCCATCTGATGAAGTGACTGCCTCTCTTTAAATACTTTGATAAATCACCTCCATTTGTTCCCAGGGGAAAACAATCTAATGGTATCACTTAAGCACCTCACCCCATTTTCAAGCATTTAAGAAAAACAAGAGAAATACAAAAGATACAGGACATGAAACCAAGAGATATTCAGATACCTACGTTTCCAGAAACCTGTTGTGACAATGAGCAGTATCTATTAAAAACAACACCACACACCACTGTCCAACAATTTGCTTCACAAAAGAGCACTACACCTCACATAACCACAAAACACACTACAATACACAGCTGACGTCACACCGAAAGACTACGTTTCCCAGCAGCAAGCTTGTGGAGATGAATAGTGCACTTACGTCAGGAGGTTTTTTTTTTTTTTTTTTTTAACTCTTGTTGGATCTGACTGGGGATTTCATCAATGGCTAAAGAGGCCATTGACATGCACTAATTAATGGAGGAGGCAGGTGGTGAAACTGGAAAGGGAGGGAGGGGGGGGGGACCCACAGGGGCAGCCATGTTGGCTCCAATCGCCATCTCCTCCTCTGGAGCCAACATGGGGTCGGTTACCAGCTACCGAGACAGACACACACCTGACACACCTGTCAGAGAGGACTTAGCCAGAGCTCCAATCCCATAGGCGTTGGAGTTCCGCTTCAGACGGGGCAAAATGGAGGTGGTGTCCTCCACGGACAGCTGGTGAAAGAAAGAAAGAAAGAAAGAAAGAAAGAAAGAAAGAAAGAAAGAAAGAAAGAAAGAAAGAAAGAAAGAAAGAAAGAAAGAAAGAAAGAAAGAAAGAAAGAAAGAAAGAAAGAAAGAAAGAAAGAAAGAAAGAAGCATTAGAGAAGCAGCAAAAGTACGGGAAGTGGGAGTAAAAATCGATTAAAGCAATAAGCCACGAAAATTTGGCCTATTACTTTCATTATGCAATGACAATGATAAAGGATACCATGACCAAGGCTCAATTAATAATTACATTTATTCATCATAATTCATTATAAACAATCCTCCTGTCAAAATAGTTCATTAGCTTAACTGTGGACTGTTTACGGTTGCTGGCAGCAACTTAAACTAAAAGCACAAAAGGGTTAGTTCGCCAAAAAAGGACAATTTTGTCATCATTTGCTCACCCTCATGTCGTATTGTTCACGATTTCTAATTCAATGAAATTCAATAAGAATTGAAGCTGTGAAACTTCAAAATGACAAGAAATGAACCTAAGCTCGCTCCATACAACAGTTTTCTGAAACTTCTGAAGCTATTCAATAACTTTGCATGGAAACAGACTAAAATTTAAAGTCAGCAAGAAACAGAAGATGTGATAGTCTTGTCTACCTTATTGTGACGTATATCAAGTACAACGGCTTCTCGGACAAGATAAAATGTAGGGTGGGACTTGATTTTGTTTATCAGGAATTGATTGGATGGTTGTGGTTTGCTATTGGTCGATCTCATGTGATTGACAGGTTGTCCTGCCCTCGCACCAGAAAACATGTCATCAGAGAAGAGAGAGATGTCACTGCAAGAGGGAAGGGAAGTCATTTTGATTGTTGATTTTTGTTTTACCATGCCATGACTTTACCATTTACCAAACTCACTGAGAATCTTCACATTTGCCCTATTTCTCTTTTATTTAAAAAATAATGTTGTTCAGTTTATGAGCAAACCATTCTTTTGAGTCTTTACAAATTAATCATTTTATTCAGTTCACAATGATTGGGTCACAACTGTTAACAACGTAAATTCAGTTCATAACCATCATATGGCTCCAGTAAACGTGAAATTTAGTGCACACACAGTGTAAGTCATAGTGAGTCATACACAGCACCTTTAAGATATAAAGTCAGCAAACTCTAGTTGGCATTCGCTGTAATTGCTTGGGTAAAAAACAACAAGTACATGATGCAGAATTGTTCCTTTTGTGTTCCATGGAAGAAAAAAAAGTCATACAGATCTGTAATTAAACATTTTTAATTTTCTGCATGAATGAGGCATAAAACCGAATCAAGATAGCATTTTTGAACTTCCATTGTCAACAGGTGTTTTTTTTTTTGTTGTTGTTGGGTAAATGCATGAAATAGGTCTGTGGTAAACACAAGCTCTAGATATTTTCATGTTTTATTCTATTACAACATTACACTGTAAACCCGAATAAGTTGGCAAATCTCAAATAATTTCAGGTAATCAGTTACATCAAATTTTTAAGTTAATAAATGTTACGTTTAAGCAGAACTTGCAGATTTTTATTTTGTAATCATACATTTTAAGTGGTCTTAACTTGAAATATTTGAGTAAGCTTATTCACACACAACTTAAAATTATCATGTAATCTCAACTTAAATATTTTTCGTAGTGGAAACTTGGCTGTAACCAGCTAATTAAAAAAATGCTACCTTGCTAATTGTTGACACAATGCTTTGATAGCATTAACATAGCATAGCACTCAATAAATGAGTACAGTTATTTAAAACATTTAACAAACACTGTTATCAAACCAAGCTCATGCTCCACTCGTCACCATGATAACCCCGCCAAAAAAAAAAGAAAAAGGCAAAGCATGCTGGGAAATAGAAATCCCAGGCAAGTTTCATTTAAATTTAAGTTTGTCTAAATTAAAAGAAACAAGTTAATAAAACTCAAAACAATGAAACAATTTAACAGCTGCTCCCGACGAGCTGGATGGCGCCTTGCATGGCTGCCGTCGCCCTTCGGTGTATGAATGAGTGAGTGAATGGGTGAATGTGAGGTAAATTGTAAAGCGCTTTGGTGGCCATTGGGTCTGTGAAAGCGCTATATAAATGCAGTCCATTTACCATTTACCATTTAACTTACATAAAATGTGTAAGTTTTATGAACCTAAAAGAAAAAGAAAGTTCTAAATACTCATAAAAGTTAATTTGATTAAACTAATTTGTATAATTTAAGTTGGCCCTACTCAAACCAATTAATTTTTTTTAGCGTTAGGGTTTACAGTGACCCCACTCATGATTTTAAACTTTTTCGTGTCTTGAAAAAAGCTATTCCTAACAAGCGGTTAAATGGGACTACAGAGGTTGCCAGGGAAAATAAACGTCATCACACAGAACAGGTAAACTCATACTCACTAGTCTGCTTTTACAGCCTTGAAATATTGATGGTGATGTTGAAGTCGTGCGACTGTAGTTCGCTTATAGCCTGACATTAAGTTTTTACTTAAGCGATTTTAGGCTTCAAAATATGTAAGCTTGTTTCCACCACAGAATATAAACTCACAATTGCGAGAAATAGACTCGCAATTCTGACTGTCTTTGAGTTTCGAGTTTATATCTCACAATTCTGACTTTATAACACACAATTGCGACTTTATATCACGCAGTTCTGACTTTATAACACAAAATTGTAACTTTATATCACGCAATTCTGACTTTATAAAACACAATTGCGACTTTATATCACGCAATTGTGAGAGAAAAAAAGTCAGAATTGTGAGATAAAAAGTAGCAATTACCTTTTTTATTTTTTATTATGTGGCGAAAACAAGCTTCCATATCAAAAAGACTGGGTATAGTTGTAACACCTCTTTGTTTCAGCATCTGTAACTCACTGAATTTTTGAGCTTGAGTGCTCAAACTTGTATACAAAGTACCCACATTTGTTCGCTATACAAACGGCACCAATTCAAACCTTGTGAAGAATATCAGCCCTTGTGAGTCGATGTCAAAAAGATGGTGTGCCTTTGTTACAACCTACCCCAGGGTACAGTAGTTTGTAACACATGCTGGGGTAAGTTGTAACAATTAGACAAAAGAAGCAAAAATAGAGGCCACACCATGCAATATGCTTCAAAAACTTTTTTTTAATGAAAAACCATGGCCAAATTGTAAACAAAACGTCATAATTGCAGCACTCTATTCAGCTAATTTGCAGTCACATTATCTATTTTAAAACAGCTTCAAATGTGATTCATCCAGACCTTTGTTAGAATTATTCATGACCACATTTCTACTGTCAAAAACAGGATAGCAAGTAAAATTTGATTTGACACTTCCTGATTTATCTCTAAAGGTGGCATTAACTGTCCTTTTTTTATTTTAGAATGAGAGCAGATGTCTCTAACTCCATGGGAACCACATTGTGTTATCATCTCCCACATCCAGTGCCACCTACGATTCACAAAACAGGCCGAATCTCAGATAACATGACGTGGCCTATCGAAGACAGCTGGCGACAGCTCAAACCCCCAGAGAAACCTGCCAGTGACGAAACACTGTGGAGTCACAGCAGATATTTAAGATTGGCACTTTTTGATTTATATTAATACAAACCCTTTAGTACTTTTCAACCATCATACTATTATGACATTTTTCTTCACAACATTCCTGTTCGTTTAAAGTTATTTGGTCATTAATAATGTTTAGCACAAAAACGTGAATTATACATTGTCCGTGGAACATTTTTTTCCTGAAACGGTTTAGTCGGATGTTCGTCTAACATTTTTGGAATGTTATTATTTGTTTCAGAATGTTTAGAGAACATTCAAACGTAACATTCCCATAATGTTTGCAAAATTATAAAATGCAATGTTCCCTTAACGTTCATACAACACTTTTTAAACGTTAAAATTTTTATTTATAGTTTCACTTTATTTTGATGCTCCCTTTAACACATTCTGCTGACTATAAGTAAAGTCTATTAACTATCATTTGTAGAGTATTAGTAGAGTGTTAGTAGACTGGTAGGGTTAGGGTTGGAATAAGGGTTAGAATAAGTTGACATGTAGTTGCAAAGATACTTATAGTCAATAGAATGTCTGTTGGAGAACCATCATAATAAATAGTTAGCATATATTAAGCAGACAGTCTACTAATACTCTAATGAGAGTTAGTTGACATGTAGCTGCAAAGTTACTCATAGTCAACTAAATGTTCAAAAGGGACCATCAAAATAAAGTGTTAGTTATTTCAGAGAACATTCAGATATAACATTTTTATAACTGTATGGGTTGTTATCAAAATGTTTCTACAACATTTTTGTTAGCTGGGCAGAGAGTAATATGATATAGATTGTTATATTGATTAAAAATTATAAAAGAGAAATAAAACATGAGACAGAGAAAGTATAGTATTAAACGCAAAAGTGTCAATATCAGACTTACATTGATTCCTTCCCAGGAAAACTCGCCATGTCCTTGCTAGAAGAAATTAATTGAAGAATAGATGGGAAAGATACAGTAAAAGAGAAGAAAAGGCATGCTTTCAGTTATCAGGAAACAGCAGACGGCTGAACATCAAGCCAAGTACAGAACACTAGATCTGGAAGAACAACAGATAAACAGAAAGAAGGAGAAGGAGGCGAGATGCTGTTCATCTGTTACGAACTGTTGTGCAGACCAAGATATATCTTTGTATGAACCCTTGTTGCGATATATACAGCTAACATGGTGTAAAATATTCATGAATGAAGTACCACCTAGTATCCATGTTGATATCTGCCTAGAAGTCTTTACATGAGGACAACAGCAAGAGGAGATGGAGGCGACTTTGATGAGTAGCACTGGAGTAAGTAATCCTAGACAACCCAAACATACAGCGAGCGAGCGATCGATCGATCGCATTTACACCGCACCCAGCGCAGCGAGACAAACGCCGGTGCCAGTGCGAACAGCAGTAGCCGCTCATTGTTCATTAAGAGAGAAATCAATATGAAAGGTCAAATGGAGGTCATTGTCAGAAAGGCATTGGCGTGCCGTGGGGCAAATGTCTGCCCCTTGGAAACTCTGAACAAACTACCGGCACGGTTCGGCTGTTCAGGGGTCGATCGATTTGTTTCCCACCATCTTAGTCTTTATGGGTGCTTCTGTTACATAAACTGTGGAGCTGGCTCCTAAAAATACATTTTTGAGGCTGGCTTGCAATTATGGCAGCCACCTACAATTTTTCTGTGAGGGGCGGATACAGCTAAACGAAAATTAACATCAGTAAATTAGTTTTCTTTTCCACTGCAGTGATAAAGTGATTAATGTTTTGCCTCACATTTTAAGGGGACGCCTTTTAAAGGCCTTTCAGATAGGATTTGATTTCAAAACAGCATTTAGGTCACAATCATTAACCTTTTTATTACTAAAAAGAATGTGTCTATGTGGATATCACAGAAATCACATGCTCTGGATGTGTCTCGAAACCTGGGTTGGTTCTAGACCCTTTTTAGGGGGGCTTCAGCGCCCCTGTTTGTCATCTCAGCCCCCCTAAAACTATAATCACCTATTTGAACGATCGGGCCAGTGCTGCTTCCTCTAGAAAGTTGATCATTTTCAGGTGTTTTTAAGTCTTGCCAATATAAACATTCAAGTGATTTTAAGACACTGCGAAAGAGAACTCAATGCGGAACTCGCACGCTGTGTGATAGATCGTTTCAGCGCAGTCGCACACACACCCGAAGCGCGCACACAGAAAGCTGACTCTCACGAGTACCAAACTGAGCTCTCTTTCCCGTCTTTATGTAGCCTGGGAAAACCCAGACGACTTCCGGCAAATTTAGATTTGCTCTGAAAGTTAGTCTGGCAAAGAGCTCATTCAAGCCCATTTCCAATCCGTCGAAATCGAGGCACCAATCAGAAACGTTGGGGCGGGCTTTACACGATGACGACAGCGCTGGGATTTTGAAGCAGATTTTGTAGCCTACATTACAAAGATGGATGCCGCCGTCGAACATCTCTCGGTCGAATCAGCTATCGCGTCTGTTTTAAGCGGTTTGAACGTTTCCTTTTTGTTAAAAACCGAGAAAAGAACAACATTCGGAGCTGCATCGCCGCCGCTCTGCATACGTCATCTCCTTCATCGCTCTGATTGGTTTTAGGTCTATCCGCGACGTCCGTTGGTGACGCCCCTCTGGAAATGATTTGTCTATGACGCTTTGCCAGACCATAACTCAGTTCCAACTGAGAATGGTCTGGTTTTAACCAGGCTAGTCTTTATGAGCAAATACACATAGAATTATGTAACAAAGACTTTATGGTTATCCATGTAGACACAGTCTTAAGTGAACTTAAACAGTTAAGAAAATATCTGTTGTGTGTCACCCTAACCCTAACCCTAACCCTAACCCTAATATAACAGATCCATGCATTAGGTCTTAAAGGCCCTGTTTACACCTGGTATTAAGAAGCGTTTTAGCCGATCGGATCACAAGTGGATGAATCTAAATACAGGTGTAAACGGGGACTAAAACTTTTTGAGATTGTCTGCTTTCGAGCACTTCCAGAGGTAGTCGAAAACACATTTGACCGGATTGGTTTCATAGTGTAAACGCTTATGTGATCGAATGCGTTTGAACAGCCACAAAAGACTGCCTACTCTCCGTCTACTGAGCTAATGCGTAAACATTATGGGCACGCTAGCCAGACGGGATTTAAACTTTGCATTAATACCCAAGTTTAACTTGAAGATGAAAAACGTACTACCAAGCACAATGTTCCCTCACCATTCCTGATTTCTAACACCCTCGCAGCGTTCGGCATGGTCTTGTAGCTATCAGGGCAGAAACGAAAGTCGAGAATTGTGAATCAATGTTGGCATCATTACATTGGTCAAAACAACATTTCTTTAGGCAGAGCAAGTAAATATCTGAGCTAAAAAAAATATTTAGTGTTGTCAATATTTTTTGTTTTTTAGTCATTTTAACTTAAATTAGATTAAACTGAATTAAAATGAGTTATAACTTATAAAAAAAAGTTGAAAATTGCTGAAACTTATTTGGATGAGTTAAATCAATGTAAAAACATAAGTTGTCATAACTTATTTATCATATAATTTTTTCACAGTGTAGTTGACATTAATACTATAATATGATGACAATTTTCTGTTAGTCATTCTGTGATTGCTTCTGAAGAGTGAAATAGAGTGTGAAATACAGACTGAACGGAACGTCAAAACATCCCACCGCTATATGGGCAGATGATACACAAACTATGTTTCTTGGCTGGATAAAGCAAACCAGCTTCTTGCTAGTAAAGTTTTGATGGATGGGGATTGCAATCAAGGCAAAGAAAATGGCGGTGAGGTACAGGAGTCGTACTGAGTCTGTTGTATTGATGATGACCAAACAACCATGTGTTGGCTCTCGATGCACTGATCACACATTTCAGTAAATTCAAGTTGTTTCCACACACATTCAGGATAATATTTTGATTTTCTTGTATGTTGATGTGTTTAGTAATTCTGAATGGATCTGTGTACTGTAGGTGTATGCAGTCAGGGTAAGGCGGTGGTTTATTTTTTTTTTTTTTTTTTTTTTTTTTGCCATTTCTGATGTGGTCCTGTTCGGTATCGCAACCTGACTTGTCTAAAATGCAAACATGCTCTTTGCTGGTGTACTGTACACATACAATACACAGTGAATTCTGAAAGGTTTTATTCTGTAATGTTGTTGTTTTTTTCATGTGTGTGCATACATTTCTGAATTATATGGACTTCTTATATAATTTGTTCGGTGTCTTTTTTTTAGTCTCCAAGTGTCCTTTTTTGGAAAGACACCTAAATTTAACTTTTTTTAAAAGCTTGCAGAACATTCAGTTTTGTGAGAATCACCCTTCAATCTGATGATTTACTTGGATGTAGCAAATGATGACAAAATGGACGTGTTTTTCACCCAAAAAGCTGTCAAAAAGGTCTAAATCCTTAATGAAAGTGCATTAGGCAGTGAAACAAGAAATAGTTACAGTATCAGATGAGGGACAAAATCAATCAGGAGGATTGTAAAAAAATAAACCACTATCCCATATATTCCTATTAGATTACATTTCTCAGAGGACACCAAGTTAGTTATGTAAGCTTGGCAATTTGCTGCTTACTTTTTCAATGTGAGGATAAACACAAATGTTTGATTCAAACGGGTTTAAAAACACAAAAAAAGTCTGTGAAATCCAAACTACTTCCATCTGGCCTTCTAATTAACCATATAATGATTTATTTTAGTGAGGATTTAGGTAAGTTTGAGTGCAATTTGAGATAGCGCTAAGCTAGCTAAAGTAGCCTTGCTACTTAACAACTAGCACCTGATTCTTCAGAGTTTTACATAGACATTTTTTTTCTTTTATTATTATGATTCTTATTTTCGCAACCAGCAAGTGCCTTAATGAATTAAGAGATAGGCCTAATGAATGATTTATTATGGTAAGGTTTGCTAAGTTTGAGGGCGATTTGAGCTAGCATTAAGCTATATAGCCTTGCTACTTGGCAACAATCAGCTGATTCTTGAGAGTTTTTCATTGCTAGGCAACATTTTATGACTTTTTTTTTCCTTTTATTATTATTATTCTTATTTTGGCAACCGGCAATCACCTTTTTGAGTGCAGCTCTCTAACACGAACATATACATGCACAGACACTGTTTCAATTCGCTCCAGCTACAGTGAGATGACACCACCTTTTGGCTCAGCTTCCAAACTCTGCATTGAGATATAAAACATGTCATTTTGGTTTGGATGATATCAGAATCCAAAACAGTAGATTTTGAGCCAAATTCATCTGTTGATGAGTAGAGCGACAAGCCAGGAGCCGATGCCCTTGGGTAGGACGTGAACACGGACGGCAAATAGAGAAGACGGATGAGGCTACGTCTTCCCAGGGGACAAACCCGTTATACGGAAATACTGTATGGTAATAGCCGGGCTCTGGGCTCTGGTTCCCGCGGCCTTGGTGAGACATGTAATATAGTGGCTTTTCAAATACAGATAATACCATCATGCTTTCTCTGACTTTCAGCACTAGGGGGTGGCAAGACATGAGTTTGGCACACAGGGGGTCCTTGCGTTAGCTAAAGACTTCATTAAAGTGCCATGAGGCACAAATGTCAGCACTTGTAGGTATAATAGCTTTGGACAGAAATGCAGACTTCGCACAAGTATCATCTCGGCAAAGGATGTCATTTAGATGTGATCCTTAAAGCTTAAGCTCACAACATGGGACAGAGGTTTGGTGCCCAAGCAAAACTTAAATATGCAAAGAGCTGTTTTACTTACCTGCTCCCCATCTTTCCGAACAGGAACTGCATCCACCGCTGCAGAGAGAGAGAGAGAGAGAGAGAGAGAGAGAGAGAGATAAGGGAATAGCCATGTGGCTTATGCAACCTTTACCAAATAAGCTAAGTCAAACTGACAGCTCCTCTCTACATTTTCTGCTGACATTCACACAAAGACCTAAAATTAGATTAATTATCCATCCAAAACCGCCAGCACTCTGTGAGGAAGGAGATTTGTAGCATCATGTTTCTATATCGCAACGTTCCTATAAAATGATAAAAAACATTAGTGATTGCTCTGCGTGATGCAATTATGCAAATTATTAGGAATTGTATTTCAAAAATAGGCTGAAGAGAAACTGAATTTGAGATTAACCCTTAAACAAGCACTTATTTCATTTTATATTCTAGCTTCCTATAAATTTGCACTCTAGCATCATTTGATTATGAAATATGTTGACGGTGTGTGTGTGCGTGTGTGTATGTGTGTGTGTGTGTGTGTGTTTACAATGACTCATTCAAACTGACAAACAAGAAATGACATGTAACCCAGTTTCCACTAACATTTTGAATGATGTGCCTGAAAACAATCAACCTGTAACATTAGAGATTGCATAAACACATAAAATTGTAGCATAATGACTGTTTTTAAGGCAAAGCAATAAATGGAGCCTCGACCATTCAGTGATGAATCTCAATACAGTGCACAATTAAGGCCAACCAGCAATCAAACAATCAAACACATGTGAGTTATCATGTGCACTGACTGTACGCTTATTTAAAGGGGTCATATAATGCCATTTTTGTACAAGTTAATATGAATGTTTAGGGTCTAAATGAAAACTTTGTAATATACTTTTATTAAAAATTCTCATTAGTATTTTAAGAAAACACTAATTTTACCTGGTCAAAAACAGCTCTGTTTTCAGCACGTCGTTTCAGTGCATATGCCTTTAAATGATAATGAGCTTCGCTCACTCCGCCCCTCTGTTCTGCGGGCGTTTTGATACAACGCACGTGGAGTGTTGCCTTGACAGTTGAGGGTATATATTTTGGAGAAAGAATGACAGCGGGGGTCTCTGACGACACATCTGTGCAATCGTATCAATTTGAACCGGAGTCGGACCCGGAACAAGATGACGGCCGCAAAGAAGTTCGACAATTAAGGCTCGAACAGGACATTTCTGAATGGTTGGTTTTATGTCACTTTAATCTATTTTTGTATTCACTGGCAGGGTAGAGAAGTGAGATACGAACCCTATGTGTTTACTGATGTATACGTTAGTTCATTGACAGATTGACGTTACAACTAATGGTCATGAAAAACTTTTTCGCGATTTGCAAATATTAATATAAAGGTTAATAAAACTTTACACTTACTTCTTCTGGAGGTGCAGAGGGAACATAAATAGTTGCTACCGATTCTTTTTTCAGGAGCAGCTTCTTTGTTTCCAGCTCATACTGACCCTCGTTTATAAAGCAGTCTGGTGAGAAATGATTCGCGCAAACATGAAAGCATTGACGTTGCTCGTGGGGAATATTCCCTTCGAAAACAAAACTCAGCCACTGCGTCTTCAGCGGTTCGGATTTAGGAACATTAAAATGACTGCTGTGTTCGTTATTACACCCAAGAACAGAACACCACAATCGCTTAGACGCCATTCTGCTCCAGCGTATTAACAATAAGGACTATGATGACAGCTCGCTCAGGGCGTGTCTGTGTTGAAACACTGCTGTCAATCAACAATCGTGGGAGGGGCGTCCGACCGTGTGACGTCACACGGTCAGACGGCTCGATTTAAGGCTGGGAAAAACATATAAGGTGATTAAAACAAAAACAATGGATAGATTTTATCATTATATGATGGTTGTGTACAGGCACTGCCAACACACATTTCAGTACAATCAACTTATAAAAGTGCATGTACCATTATATGACCCCTTTAAATGGTGTTTTTTTGTGTTTCAACTGGTTTTGAGAATGCCACACTTGCTGCTTGTGCTCTCATCTTTAGTGAGAGGAAGGATATGTTTGCAAAGAGTGATAAATGGCTGTACAAGAGAGGTTGTGTGGAAGCCCTTATTGCATATAGAGGGGGTTTGGTTGTGTATTGCTAACTGCAGTGACACTCTCCCTCATTTACAATAATCCAGATTCATCAGTTCATTGTAAAATAGGGGTTAAACCAGGTGCATGCTGTGTAATATTGTTGCTTGTCAGATTGTATGATATGAGCAGAATAAGAGTTTGCGTAAAGCTGTATTCGCATTGTGCCTGTCGCTGCCATAATAATGGCTCGCTATAGTGGAGCAGTGACACAACATTATTTTTAGAAACAGTAAACACGTCACACTAAAAGATCCAAGACTGGTGATTTTTTCCATACAACAAAATAAATCTTTTCCAAAACAAAAAAGTGTCAGACAGCAAAATTGTTGCCAAAATTGTGTTGTGAATCTTGCAGAAATTCTGTAAGAACCTTCACTGTGCACAAAATTATTATTGAATGAGACCCTGCCTAGCTGCACATCACATGCTCTCTCACTCCCCCGTCTCTCTCTATTCAATTTAGTTCTATTTAATTCAGCTCAATATCAGTGAAATTGAGTTGAGCATTGGCTTGATTCATTGAACTCATTTACAACAGTCCTAAACTGTTGACGCAATAGAATAACAAAATTGTGATGGGGTTAATCACGTCAAAACAGAATGTACCAGTCCTTGTTCTATCTGCATCTGATTTTATTTTGTCCACTACAGACTGATCTCAAAATACATTAATCGCATCCTGTGCATGTGTGTGTGAGCGTGTGTCTTTTAATTGCTGGTCTCTCTCTGTGTGTAAGTACAGCAGAGCCTTTGGGCCTTAGAGCCATTTCCTCAATCAACCTAACCCACTCTGGAGAGAAGGATAGAGCCAAGCAGAGCAGTGCAGCTCTGGAGGAGACCAATGAACCAGAGTGAAGAGTAAACAGAGAAAGACAGATAAAGTGAGTTAAGGTCAAGCAGATCTACTCATAATCAATTAAAGGAGACAGTCAGAACTAACATGGCAGAAGAACATTAACAATGATGAGAGCATGATGGACGGACAGACAGACAGACAGACAGACAGACAGATAGACAGATAGATAGATAGATAGATAGATAGATAGATAGATAGATAGATAGATAGATAGATAGATAGATAGATAGATAGATAGATAGATGGATAGATGGATAGATAGATAGATAGATAGATAGATAGATAGATAGATAGATAGATAGATAGATAGATAGATAGATAGATAGATAGATAGGGATGAATCCCTGCACATCCCAGTTGTCAGGACCCATAACTTTCTAACTGTCTGTTCCACCATGATGTTGTTACGGACAAAACACTTCCACTCATGCAGGAAAACACATTGAGAAAATCCCAAGAGACATGAAGGATAAGCCATCACATCCAAGGTCGCTAAGCGCCACATGGCCGCTGCACTGTTTACCCTGCCCATCTACATTTATGTCTGAATCTGACACTGGGCATTATGAGGGCCCGAGCTTCAGGGCAAAGGAAAGAGAGAGCGAGAGAGACGGATAAAGAAGCAGTCAGACGAGCTAAATAAATATCCATTTGACGAGGATAAAAGCTAACGTCAATAGACACTGAACGATGAGGAACAGTAAGGAAGATTCCTAGACAGCCAGCTTAAGCCTGACGGTCTCACGGAGAGAAGCAGCAGAAGATCTGCATTGCCAAGGACCAGATGGAGGAACAACTGGACCATGGACAATCTGGCTTGACAGATCTCACAGCCTAGAGAACATCTTTGAGATTTTATTCTACAGCAAAAAGGTATGAAGAAGTAGGAGAGAGGGAAGAAAAAGGGACAAATAATGGAACGCAAGCTGGAACTCTGACACACGGTGACGCTCACAGTGACTCTGATTAGGAGTGAAGTCCAAGAGGCTGACTCACCTCCAGTACTGAGCCAAAAACACATGGAGAGGGGGGAGGGAAAGGAAAGACAGAGACAAAGAGGATGAGAGAAAGACCAAGACACTGAATGAAGGGAGGAACACTATGCAATACGGTATAACAAAGAAAAACGGAGGACAAAAGGAGGTAGGCGTAAAGAGATTAAAATGACACGGAGTTAGAAGACACAGAGAGAGACTCAGAAAGAGAACCGAGTCACAGAGAGAGAGAGAGCAAAAACTTACTAACCATCACAAAATTGACCATCAGGGTGAAGAAGGGAGGACAGTGAGGCACACAACGGGTGTTTACACTTTACGATTGGGTTTGTGTCTACGCAAAATGGATATGAATCAATTGTTCCCAGGCTATATAGATGCTAACACAGAGCAGTGATATTTTCTGTTGAATGCTCTCTTCGGCTCAAATGAAAATTGGTGTTACATACATTACATACATGTGTGGCCTAAACAACAAGATGCATTTACACTTGACTGGGAGGCATCTTTAAACCACTTCATGATGTGGTCTGACTGAGTGACGTCTCAAATTTCTTGGAAGGGCATTTAAATCTTTTCATGATCAAGTGCAAATACCTCTAAAGTGCAAAAGACTGAACATGGGTGAAAAAAACATGGACAGTAAGGGATAGATGAGGAGAATGAGAAATAGAAACCTAAGAAATTAAGTGAACACATTACTTTACAATCAGTTACAACGAAATGAACAGCAGAAATTACTGTTTAGATGAGTCAGCTATAGGCCTAGTTATTAAAGTAGGACAAAGTCTGGTTTGAGAATAAAATGATATGAAAAATCAAATTTGTGATTGTTTTTCCATCTCTGTTCGAAATCTGCAATTGCAGTCATTCGCGGAATTATCAACTTTACGTGAGTTGTACTTCGACACCGCACAGCGCGGATGAACACATTGAGGAGAGTGTGCAGCTGTCAATCACCGCGCCGGTGTCGATACTGGCATTCAGAATCACAGATATTCTTTTTGGAAGTATGACTAACATAATAATTTTCACCGGACAATGTCATCTGAACAAGTAAGTAACATCCACTTTTGTT